TGTGGGGGCGATATGCTGACTCTGTAAACCGCTTAGAGAGGGCTGAAAGCCCTATGAAGCGGTATATAAGTCTAACTGCTATTGCTAACTACTATTGCTATCTTAAAAGTTCTCAAGGTTTAGAAACGCTGCTGTATCGGTGCACTTACTTTGATGAAATCCACGAGTGTATTGTAAATAAAAGCTCCACGGGGAAGAAAGAAACAGCTTCCAGGGCTCAGGTCATGGAAAAAGAAGAGCTCTTGTTCCTGTGGGGTCAACCCAAAGTTAAAAGAAGAGTCAGCTTTATCAAGAGAAGAAATATATGTAGCTCAGGTTGACGTTTTCTTGCAAATCTTGCTCCTATTACCTAGTTGGGCCAGCCCAGAGAACATCAAATGCACCACAGTCAACCTTGACAGGCTGAAATTGTGTAAGTCTCAAATGTAACAACAGATGCACAACAGCCCCCTGAATTTCCTTGCACAGGATTCCAACCTACCCTACAGATTTCTGACCCGGGATCTCTAGGCCACCATAAATCCGAAGGTTTTCAGGCCCCCTAAGAAGCTTCACTCTGAGTTTCTCCCTCAAAGTCCAAAGCCCACCTTGCCAATTTTCCTGTGGTCTCGTTTTTTGGCTTCCTCCTGGAATTTCTCCCACTCCTTCATCATTTTGGCCTCTGGGAAAGAGATTCCGTAGATCCGTTGCAAGGTTTCCATGTTGGACTTCCCCTCCCAATAGGTCGACGAGTTCTAAGAACACAAAACAACGGCACAAAACGAAATTCACCAAAAAGTGGGGAATGGAGAGATGATTTAAGAGTCTGAGAAATAAATGCGCTGCTATGCTTCTCTCATCATCCAAACCCGTGCTTCTCGACCTCGGTGGCTTTAAGATGTGTGGACTCCAAGTCCCAGAATTCCCCACCCAGCTGAGTTGAAATCCAAATATTTTACATTAGCCAAGATTGAGACGCATTCATCTGAATCCTTCCCAGGGACAAAAATATCATAAACGGCCCGGGGTTTCTTGATAAAACTCAACACATACTCTTCGTTCTTTGATACACCCTACTTATATATCAGGGACACGGTGGCTCAGTGGCAAAGATGCTGAGAAAGGTCGGCCGTTCGGCGGTTTGAATCCCTAGCACCGTGTAACGGAGTGAGCTCCTGTGACTTGTCCCAGCTTCTGCCAACCTAGCACTTCGAAAGCACGTAAAAATGCAAGTAGAAAAATAGAAACCACCTTTGGTGGGAAGGGAACAGCGTTCCGTGCGCCTTCGGCGTTGAATCATACCAGCCACATGACCTTCGGACAGCGCTGGCTCTTCGGCTTTGGAACGGAGATGAGCACTGCCCCCTAGAGTCGGGAACGACTGGCACATATGTGCGAGGGGAACCTTTACCTTATATATCACTATATTTATATTCCTCAGGCTGGCTGAGGAATTCTGGGAGTTGAATTCTACACATCTCTCCAAGTTCCCAAGGTTGACAAACACAGCTCTATTCGTTACGACTAATGCTTTGAATTGGGCCTGGGATTTTATCCTGACCTTTCAATTTCTGCTAAAGAAAATCTTCCTTACCTTAATGATCTTTAAGGCCTTTATTTTTCCAGTGTGCCTCACATGAGGTCCTCTGCATAAATCAATCAAGGGACCGCACCTATTAGATGAACATCGAAATAATTAACTCTGTTCGAGTTATCAGCCACTTCGCTCACCACGAATAAACGTGGTTACCCTGAAACATTTCTACACTTCCACAGCAACATCGTAGGTTGCTTAAACTTAAACCAACATTAACCTCACATGCTTCTCCTCTCTAGTTAAGAGAAGAGAAACTATTATTTTAACACAAAAAAATCAAATCCATCTGCTTACCTGTATACTGTTGTGGTCAGTGTGTGAATTTTCTCATTCAGGATCCGGCATTTGAACTTGTTGTACTGTGAAGAGTGTATAAAGAAAATTGGCAAAATAAATATATTGAAACTTAGCCTTTTTTGGAGCCCAGGTTCTCTATCCTTGACTGCTTCACACCAGGACTTCTGGCCATGCTAGTTGAAAAATTGGAGATCTACATTTTTAGAGATATCAACTAGGTAAAAAATGCTATTCCACTAACACTTCGCAGAATTTGAACCAGGGAAAATTCCCTGCTCCCAGAAATTCTATGAATCTTTTTGGAGAAGCTCTGAATTGTTATTAAAGGGATATTTTCATTGTATTCATTTATTCAGCCAATGGCCAGCCACATAAAATAACAAAAAAAGGGAATAAAAGAGAACAATTGTGATCGGGAGCGACAGAGAAAAATGAGTGCAATTATATATTGATAAGAATGAAAGTATTGATAAGGTTGGGGAGGGAGTTGAGTTTGGGGGGGGTATATATTTATAAAACTTAAAAAAAAAACTTTAAATTAAAAAAAAGAATGAAATGATTCAAATGTGGTATAATCTGAACAGTCCTATTACAAAAATAATATGTTTGTTTGCCTAGCACTAATGAAATTATACACTAAAATAAATACACGTCCTCCGAAAATCGTTGAAAATAACTAAGGATGTTGATAAAAAGAGAGGTTTTGCCTTATTATCACTGCAGTAGCACAAAACCAAATAGAGAATAATGAATTAGAGAACTAAGGAGAAATTCCCTAATGGTGAGAGCAATTAAACAATGGAAGAGGAGTTGCCTTCAGAAGTTGTGGGTGCCCCATCCCTGGAAGTTTTCAAAAATCAGACTGGACTACCATCTGTCTGAAATGATATGGGGTCTCCTGTTCGAGCAGGGGGTTGGACTAGAAGACCTCCAAGGTCCCTTTGAGAACTTCGGGACTTACTTTAAACATTTCTAGCAAATCTTCTTTTCGGACTTCGAGCCTTTCAAACGGCTGCTTTTCCTTCATGATGCTTTTGCAAATGCTCTCCAGAGTCAGTAACTCTGTACTGGAAACCCCTCTGGAAAAAAAAATAAGAATTCTAAATCAGTTTGTCCAGCTGCAGCTCCAATAAAATGAAGCCCTGGTCACTTTTCCCACCACAGGTGAGTCCTACACCCCTTTGACCCAGGTGTAAAGGTAAAAATTCCCCTTGCACATGCGTACTAGTCGTTCCTGACTCTAGGGGGCGCTGCTCATCTCCGTTTCAAAGCCGAAGAGCCAGCGCTGTCCAAAGACGTCTCCGTGGCCATGTGGCCGGCATGACTCAACACCGAAGGCGCACGAAACCCTGTTCCCTTCCCACCAAAGGTGGTCCCTATTTTTCTACTTGCATTTTTTACGCGCTTTCGAACTGCTAGGTTGGCAGAAGCTGGGACAAGTCACGGGAGCTCACTCCGTTACGCGGTGCTAGGGATTCGAACCGCTGAACTGCCGATCTTTGTGATCGACAAGCTCAGCGTCTCAGCCACTGAGCCCCCGCGTCCCTCGACCCCCTGGTGAGGTCATCCTAACTGTTAAAAAATTCTTAAATTATTCCTGTGTATTGCAGGTAATTTATGTAAGACATTGTTTTAAAAAAAAAACCACACCCTTGCAGGCTATTAATAACTTCAGTGATTTATTTCCATACATTCCAAACGAATTACAACAGGAAGTCCTCAATTTACGACAGACACTTCCCCAAAGGTACGACTGGTTCTGAAGTTCAGCAACCAGCCAGCATTTATGATCGTTCGAAGCATGACTGCATTTTAATGACATTTTTTTTAAAAAAAAAA